CACAGGCAGTCTGTAGTCTGATACAGTGTGGGAAGATAATTCAAAGAGGCAAAACAAACATGCCCATTCTTAATCCCACCACTTCCCGGCTGAGGATGGATCTCAACCAAACCCAAGCCTCACAGCCCTCACCTGTAAGGCAGAAATGGCAGACAATGCCACCTCCCCTTGTGGAACTGAGGGGACTAGAGAGAAGGTGTGCCAGGCATCAAACCAAAATCCTGCCCAGTAATAATCTGCTCAATAAGAGATACTTGCCATAGTTCACCCGACAAGTATTTGAGTCACCACCCTTAAACAGATGACATAGAATACAAAGAGTAATTCATGAAGAAAATGAATGAAGCGGTGTGCAGCAGCTCACAACTTTAATCCCAGCAGTTAGAAGGCAAAGGCAGGCAGATCTCTCTGAGTTCGAGGCCTGCCTGGTCTACAAAGTGAGTACCAGGACAACCAGGGCTAGATTGTGAGACCCTGTCTTAAAAAATAAAAGATAACGAAGTTAGTGGACAATGGTTTTAAACCTACTCAGTGGTAATAATTTTTTTTTTTAAGTACTAACTTATTTAGTTGCAAAACAACACAAAGCTCATGCAAGTGGCTGGGCTAGACTAGGCTGCAGTTAGGGAATGAATAAATTCTGCAAAGAATGAATCTGGAGAGCGGGACAGGAATAACAGGGTAGGAAGGAAGCACTGGGGAGGGAGAGAGGACAGGATGGACACTCTCCTGCCAGTCCCTAACCTCCCTCAAGCTCACAGGAATAAAAATAAAATTAATCCCTTTTCTCATCCCAGCATTTTCTCTCTGGCCTCCAGCTGATGGGTCTATAATCCCCACTCAATCCCCGTCACTCTCATCCTGGCTTCTGTCTACCAACAGCAAAACAGCTCTCTCTGGCACAGCGAGAGATGCAGAGGGAAGCCAGACCGGTTGGAAACCCTATTACTAAAGAAAAAACGGGATCTCAGCAAAGGGCAAGTTGGTATGTTAAGATTTATTATGATCTAAAGCACAGAGTGCGGACAGGCAAACACTCACTGACTAAATTTGCTTTAATGTAGAAGTGCAGCCCCTGATTTCTGAGAGGATTAAAGCACATTACCCTAAGGAACTCTGTGCCCACGGAGATCCAGAACTTCTGGTGGGGAAGGATGGGGGCAGGCCTTTGGGTAGCAGCAAGACCAAGACAGGCAGAGTCAAAGGTTAAGTCTAGACTGTTGAGTGATTGAATCATTGCTGTCCCCTAATGGTCTTGGTCTTAGAAGGTTCAAAACATCCAAGTCATTTTAGTTTTGTTTGTAGGTCTCTGGGGTGCTCAAAGTCTTGACCTTGATTCTATATATCACCGGCTACTGTTTTCATTATGAGGTTGGCTTTACTTTGTTTCTCTTTCCATGAAATACATTTGTTTTCCCTACTTGACCAATTACTCTTTGAAATAAGGACTTTGTACAATAATTCTGCCAACCCTCTTATGCAGCAGGATATAAGCTAAATACTGTGCTAAAAAAAATTCTGATTAGGCTGGATGATTATGTTGATTATTATAGGATGTACTATAAACACACACACACACACACACACACACACACACGCACCACTACACCCCTCTTTGGATGCTAGCATGCATGTTTTTATGTTCCTGATACTCTTATATATGAAGCACCCACCAAAGGGAGAGAAAAATCTAGGATCCACATTGTCTTCCAAATAACTTCTATTTGCACCTGAAGAGACTATATTAGGTTTGAAGAGGAACTTCCATTGAAAGACTGCTGCTGGGAATAGCACCCCCGGACTCATCTCCTGGCTCCTAGAGGCCAGTTGGCAGGGTCTTCCAGTGGTTGCTCCTATCACAAGAATTACACGTCATGTTGTCTAATCCTCTGTCCTTTCTACCCAACTGTGAACTTCCTAAGAGCCAGAAACAAATGCTGCCTGATACTGCATCCCAGCATCTACTGCGGGGCTTGGCACACAATAGGCGCTTAGCAAATGTTTACTGAATATAAACAGGCGCACACAAAAGGTTTCTTGGCCAGGAACTGTCCGGTAGAGTCAAGGTTCAGCTAGCAAGAAGAGGGTGAGAAGAGAAGGGCTGGGAGCAGTCAGTGCACATTCCCAGCAAACTTCCAGGTCAACAAGAAAACACTGAGGGCCCCGAGGAGAAGCAGTCAGCTGATAAGGTAAGCCAGATCCTGTGACTACATTTAGCCCTGTGGTTTAGGGAGGACATTGCTCCCAAGGAGCTAAGTGCGGACAGCTCACGCGTACTGTCGTAGATAGCCATCATAGATTGTCACAGAGATTTATCTCTTTTTCACCTGTTCAGTGGTCCCCTTGACAGCTGCGACGCTGGGGCCTCGACCCTTGTGGACTCCAGAATAGTAAGACAAATAAAAAACATCTCACAGAACCATACTCTCTCAGGGTCCATGGAGGCCTTCAATCTCACTCTTCGTCCCTCCGTCAAGAGATGCTCAAATTCCTAGAGCACTCAACACCTCAACAGTCTTCCTGCTTTCTTCTCATGCTGGAGGACTCAATTGGAGGACCCAATCCTTGGACAACTAATTACATTTTTCTTTCCTGAGACATGGCTTTTCTGTATAACAGCCCTGGCTGTCCTGAAACTTGATTTGTAGATCAGGCTGTCCTCAAACTCACAGAGATCCTCCTGCCTCTGCCTCCCGAGTGTTGGAATTAAAGGTGTGCGCCACCACGCCTGACTGCCAATTACATTATTTTTAAATTACTTTCTTAAAGATGTCTGATTTCTACCCATCAGCCCCACATCTTCCCTTCCTATCTACTCACAGCTAAACTAGTCTCAAGCACATGACACAGCCCCAGCTATCTGAAGGCAGCCATCACCCTCTCCCGCCTGGGGTTTAGAAAGACATTCATTGCACAGGCTGCTCAACAGGAAATGTACTGCATGCACGGGTTAGCAAATGTTTTTGTTTTGGTTTGGGCTTTGGGGTTTTTTGGTTTTTGTTTTGTTTGGGGTTTTTTTTTTGCTATTGTTTTTTGTTTTGTTTTGTTTTTTGGTATATAATAGGAATCAGAGAGAGATCATGCCCCATCTTGTTGCAAAAAACGGTGGTTTCTGAGCTAAGAGACGGGGTGGAAGAAGGTGATGACACATGACAGAATGGCTGATAATGCACAGAAACCTTAACATCCTTCACAGAAATCATTAATAATGGCAGAAGTATCTTCTGAGACCAACTGAATTTTGTTTTACATAGGAAGCATCAAGAAGGTACCTACTTCTGATGTTTTGCTAAATGGCCATGCTGTCAAAGTACCTTCTAAATGTTTATGTTGGTACCCATAGATCAGTGCTGCTGTCCACCGTGGTCAGAGAGGCTCCTTGGTGCAGTGGGCAGCAGTCAATGCGGACTCCTAGCTGGTCCGTGCTGGAAGTGAGTGACAGTTGGGTGCTCAGCCCTAGCTGGGACACTTACATCACCACCATCCAGACTCATGGAATATAGTGGAAGAGGAGGCAGAAGGAACTTAAGAGCCAGGCAGAGGAGAAACGCTCTGAAACGCTGTCGTCTGGACAGGACATGACTGCGGCACTCATGAACCCATGGACAGAAGGTGTGATTACCTACACAAAATCTAGTCAGTCAACATTCCACCACAGATCGGGGAGGGTTCACGAGGCTCTGCCCCTAGGTGAGGAGCTATTGACAGTTGATGGCTTCTAGGAAAGGGGGAATTTTTTTTCTTCCTTCTGGACCTGGTAGGCTGCCCTTGCTCTGGTAGATGGCCCCAGACTCATCTGCAGGCAGGCAGCCCTTCCCAGATTCAGTTGGTTATATAAAATTTTTAAAGAGGAAAAGAAAAGAAAAAAGAAGACATAAAGGTACAAAAGGGGGAGCACTAGAGGTTACCTGAGGACAGTGGAGGGAAGATTTGGGTGGAATATAATCTAGATACATTGTACACATGTACGGAATTGTCAATGGATAAATAAAAATAATCAAGAAGGAGCAGAAGCAGAGGCAGCAGCACAAAGGTGAAATTGCAAAAAGATCCCAGCTATTGGGTGTCAAGGCCTCAATTAGAGAAGTCTTTGAACCTCAAGCCAGTCCTCCGTGCACTGCAGGGTTCCAGAACAGGACAGCAGCCTCCCTGTGGTTTCAGAACACTGCCATAGAGCGGTACCAGCAGCCCACTCTCCCTACATTCCAAAGAGCTGAAGGGGAGAAACATGTCATTAGCCCTGATTTACCAGGGTTCACCCTGCAGGACTGAAAGGCACAGGGATTTGCTCTGGTTCCCTGGAAAATGCCTTATTCTTGGGACTCAAAACTCACTGAAGACTACTCTGTTGACAACCAGCTACTGAGAGAGTCGGGGAGTATCTTAGCCCAGATACTAAGTCCAGATTCCCTCACTAAAAGGAGCTGCTTCTGAATGCTGTTCAGCTTTGAACTCTTTGGCAGGAGGCGTCCCTCCCCCCCAGAGTGAGCTCCAGTTTCCCCACCTATAAAACAGAGACAAGTAAATTTTGTGCTTTAGTTAACCAGGATGCCCTGAGGTTCAAATATAAAAGAGCAAATTTGGGGCAGAGGCTCACTCCCACTAAATAAGCAACTGTCCTCTCTTCTCTCTCTTCTCCTAAGCCTCCATTGCAGCCCAATATCCAGAGCACGTGCACCAGGTCAGGAAGCTCTCCCCCTAGCAAGGGAGGAGAAAGAAAGACAATTACAATATCAACCCGCTGGTTGCCACCATTTCTATTTTTTTAAAAAAGTTATTAGCATAACGCTATGTATTAAGTCCTATGTGTCATACAAAGGGCTCTCCTGCAGGCTCGCTTGCTTTTAGCTTGCACGACTACTCATTTTACAGATAACAAAACGTAAGCTTGGAGTTTAAAGGGTAACCAGTAAACAGCAGGGCCAGCAGGGCCAGGCAGGACAAAGCCGCAGTGCTAATGCAGGCTAATACTTCCCAACTCTAAGGAGCTCGTTAATCACCTGGGAAGATTCAGCGAGGCCTTTCCCAGGTCTTGACTGAGGCGGAAGCTTCTGGGGTAGCAGGTAGATGGACTCGGCTGTGCGTATCCAGGGCTGGGTTTTATGTTCCATTAAGTGCCAGCCTGTATCGCTGTGTGGGTCCCCAAAGTTTCACACTAACCCTATCGGAAAGAAGGTACTCAATGACTTACTAAATGAATCTATATCTCAAAGTTTCACACTTCGGCACTTTCCTATATCAAGTCCCATCGTGTCATTCAATCTTCATTACAGACCTATATAAGGGAGGGTGATTCTCACTTGACAGACAAGGAAATGGGCTCAAACACGCAAGTGGCCTAAGTTTTTCAGCTTTTGTGCGGCAGAGACGACCACAGCTGTCTCAGGGGACGCAAGGAAAAGTAGAGACCACCGGATGGTAGGAGGGGAACCCGTCCTAGGACCTGACAAGCTTACAGCTCCAGAGGTCACCCGGAACTCTCAGCTACTCCGGGGATGGGGCAGCCCTGCCCGGTGCTCCGGGAGGGAAATAAGGAAGAGGAGAGGAGACCGATTTGGGGCACAGTGCCAGGCGACAGAAGGCAGATGGTGAGAGTGAGTCCCCTGACCTCACCATAAGCCCCACGGATTTCAAGCACCGGGGTGGATCCAGGTCTGAAGGAACACTGGTCAGCTTGAGGGGGTGGGGTGGGGGGACAGGGATGAGAGGGTTACCGGCGTTCAGGGAAATCGGGCTAGGTGGTGAATCACCCAGCACGTGACCCTGCCGGGGAGGGGAGGGTACAGAGCTCCGCGAGATGAGGCGGGGGCTTAAGTAGAGAGGCCTAGCGCACAGAGCACCCCCGTGACCTGGGTTAGGGGAGCTAAGGGGAGCCCCTCTCCCACGCCACTTCTCCTGGCGGCCGATTCCCCCCCCGCCCAGCTCCCGGCCCGCCGGATCCCCAGGCGCAGTAAACTCACGGCCTTTAGTTGCTCCAGCCGGTCCTTCATCCTGGCCCAAGTGCGGGCGCCGGGCACCGCGTCCCAGGTGAGCGCGTCCCAGGTGAGCGGCCAGGAGCGGTAGCCGGTGCCGGCCGGGGCGAGGGAGCTGCTAGCGCAGGCGGAGGCGG